AAATTGAAATGAGATCATCTTAGTGGTCTACTTTTTGGGTTTATCTATTTACTTCCTATTTGATCAAACAATGCTCAGGTTGACAGTGCTTCTGATATTATCCTTCATCTGCGTTATACAGATTTCTGGACCCACCTCAGTAATTTTTGGTGTATATATGTGCAGGCATCTGGAGGACACAAGATGTACATCTGAATTGTTTCTCCTACTATAAACAATTCAGTGGTTTCCCACAGCTCTTAGAGTACAGACCCAAGTAAGTCCAGGATACGTAATGATTCTTTTTTTTTTTTTAAAGATGGGGTTTCACCATGATGGCCAGGCTGGGCTTGAACTCTTGACCTCAGGTGTTCCACCTGCCTCAGCCTCCCAAAGTGCTGGGACTATAGGCATGAGCCACCATGCCCGGCCAGGATAACGATTCTTAACCCTGGCTGCTTTATCTCAGGAACTTAAAAAATTACCCATATCTAGTTCCCCCTCTCCCAATTGAATCAGAATCTTTGTGGGTGGGGCCTGGGGACTACATGTTGCAAAAGCCTCATGGTCTGGCACTTCTTGCCTCTCTAGTCTCAGCTCTACCACCCACCCCTCCCTTGCTCTCCTCTCCCTAACTGGCCAATCCCTGGTACCAGACACAGTCCAGGGCTTTTGCACAGGCTGTTCCTTTTATTAGCTTACACATCCAACCCCTGACCTCTCAGACTATATTAAATTGCACACTCTCCTAGCACCAGACCCTTGCCTCCTTAGCACATTTTGTAGTTGCATTGTATGATCCTCAGATTAATGTCTCCCTCCTCACTGGGCTGTGAAATTTTTTGCAATTGGAGGCTAGTTGGTTTCTGTGCACTGCTGTGTCTTCCCCAGCACCAATGCAGGGCCTGACAAATAAGAGGTGCTCATTACTTATATCAAATGTGGCAAACAAATGGCAGGATGGAAAATCCCAATATTCTCTGTCAGAGATTTTAAGAGATCAAATAATATGTATTTTTTAAGCATTGGGGAGGAGGGTCAGGAGAAAAAATAAAATAAAATAAAAGTCATGTAAATCTAAGGAAGATTGTCAGAAAACATTGGACCCCATTTAATCTTAGCTACAGTTCCCCTAGCCAAGCTTCAAAGACAAGCATCATTTGGAAAATAAAATTACAGAACTAACATAACAAGTCATCCTGTTGAAAGTTATTTTGGGAGGTGCCTACAAAAGGAGGGTTGTACCCTGCCTTTTCAATGGGGATCTGCAATTTGAGGCCTCTCCTTCAGAGAGAATATTTTCTGAAAGAAGAGTTAGACCAACTGGTAACTGCACAGCAGAGCCTGGATCTGCTCCCATTCTGCTTCCAGTGGGGCCTCTCTGTCAGATAGTCAGTTAGTTCATAACTACCGTCTGTTCCTAAATCCAGAAATGCAAAGAGACCATGACTTTGGTTCACATAGTCATAGGCTGAAACATCAGAGAGCTTGCACCTGCCAGAACCACCTCTTCTTTAGGCCTCTGAAAAAAAGCCGAAGCTGGCAATCCTAAGCAAAGAGGTTTCCAGACTAAGCTGAAATGCACAGCAAATAAAGTTAATTCACAAAATGAATAATAGTCTGTGTAGGGGGTGGCGGTTTGTAGACTTCAAATTCAAGAGGCATAGATATTGATGCATTTGGGATATTTGTATTTGAAAGTCTGAGGCAAATAGGCAAGGTAATACAAGATTTTATAGTTATAAATTAGCTCTAATTCTCTTCTCTGTCGTCAACTATTAAAATGCCCCTGCTTGGGAGGGGGAGGTTTCAGGAGGCCTGTGGCACTAAATTGCAATTACAAAACATATTGCTACATACCCATCTTCCAACCTGGCACAAAAGTCCATGAGAGGTGGGAAGGCACTGGCCTGCCCCAATTATTATCACTGAATAAAACCAGCTGTGTTTCCTAGACTCAGAGTTGCACAAAACTATGACGTCTGGCTTTAGCATCCTGTCACTCCCCTCCAGACATCCTCTGTTTCTTCCCAGCCAGCCATAAGTGTCAGGGGACCTCAAGCAGCCATTGAGAATGCCCAGGGAACAGATTTGGGCTCCAACGGCTGAGACATCCAATTCCTTCAAACATAAAAGGAAAGTAATTAATTCTTACCCTGCAGGGCCATTGGGAGGGTTCTACAAAACAACATTTGTCAAATCCCAGTTGGTGCCTAGTAAATGTTAGTTTTGTGTGTGAAATACATTCTCCTCAATATCAAAACTTCTAATGTCTTGGTAATCTACTCTCAAGTGGATATGAAATCATCTGAGAATCTAATTTACAAGGCAATGTGAATGACTGAAAATGGATTTTCCTACCAACTTCTAGATTTAGATGGTTGCACACACACACACACACACACACACACACACACACACATTTTGAGAAGTAAATCCCCAGTGCAGGGTCTAAATACCAGAGAGAGTGCAGTATAGTAAACCCCAGCCTAGGCCTGGGAGCCAGGCTTCCCAGATTACAATCCTGCTTCTATCCCTAGCTACCAGCGAGAGACCTTAGGCCAGTTACTTAATCTTTCTGTACCTAGCTTTTCTTATCCCTAAAAAAGCCTTGATATTAACACTACCATATCTCATAGGATGGTTGGCAGACTCAACGAGTTAATATGTATGATATACTTCAAACAGTGTTAACACCATGGTAAGTGCTCAATAAATATTAGTAATGATCATTGACAATGGCATTTCAAGTACAAGGTAGGATGCCTGGGTGGCTGCTTCCTCCTCCAAGTTCAAGCCAAATGCCCCCTCACCAAATGGCCCCTGCTTACAGGGAAGGAAAACAATTTACTTTGTTTAGAGTGACAGGAACACAGCTCCAAATTGAATGAGAAGGCTCCCTTCCTTGCAACAAAGGGAAAGTAGGGAAAGTTGGTGCCAGAAGAAATGCACTTTCATTTGTATTACTGCCACCAGAAGAAAGGAAGGAGGGGGGATTATGCAACCTATAAATGCCCTTATCTTTTAGTCAAGCAGAATTTTTTTTTTTTTTTTTTTGGCAGTGGGGGAGCCACCGTGGGTTTTTTTTTTGTAAAAAAAAAAAAAAAAAAAAAGCAGTTGTTTTGCAGCTGGAGGCATGGGCAAGGGGTTCCCAGGCAGTAAACTCCCCGAAGGTGGGCTGCGGGCTAGGGCTGAGCCTCAGGTGGGTCTCCTGTTCCCTGTGCTCTCCTGCAAGCAGCCTCCCTCATGGACTCTGGGGCAGCCACAGGAGGGGCAGGCTGGGAGGGGCTGCCACAGTTGTTCATTTGAGCAGGATGTCAGAGGACTCAGACACCAGCTTCCCATTGCCGACTTCAATCTTATTCACAACCACGGCCCTGGTGGAGCTAGTGCAACTGAAGATGCTGGAGCCCATGCCAGAGACACAGCTGGAGCCCAGTCTGTAGCTGAGGCTGGGGCTTGTGAGGCCCTCATAGGCCAAACTCAGATCACCTGCATAGCTGCTGGTGGTTTTCATATGGATACTCATGTACTGCATCCCAGACTCCAGCCAGCTCTAGTCAAGGAGAATTTAAAAGGAAACTAGGAAGCCATTTCCCAAAGCTCATCCATAACATCGATACCTTGGGCTTCCATCCCACTCTTTACAGAACACAGCTCTTCTACATCCTTTACCTTTTCTTGTTTAGTTCACTCTGTCACCAGCTCCCATCCCCAAGCACACCAGAAGTCCACCTTGCTCTGCCCCATCTAATGGCTAAGGACCAAATTGTACAGGAAGGGAGGACAAGCAATGGGAAAAAGAAGCAGCTTGCTGAGAGTTTTCAAACCTATATCAACAGAAGTCTTGTATATTCTTGGTATATTAGTTTGCCGGGACTGCCATACCAAAATACCACAGGCTGGGTGGCTTAAACAGTAGAAATGTATTTTCTTACAGTTCTGGAGGCTGAAAGTTCAAGGTCAAGGTGCTGGCAGGGGTGGTTTCTTCTGAGGCCCCTCTCCTTGGTGTAAATGACTGTCTCCTCCCTGAGTCTTCACATGGTCTTCTCTGTGTGTGTGTCTGTGTATCTAGCCACTTCTTCTTATAAGGACACTAGGCATATTGGAGTAGGGCTCACCCTAATGACCTCATATTAACTTAATTGCCTCTGTAAAAACTCTACCTTCAAATATAGTCACATTCTGAGGTATTGGGGTTAGGACTTCAACATGTGAAATTTGGAGGACCAGGACCATAATTCATCTGCCAACACTTTGGTTAGGCTAATTCCTACATACTTTATGGGTTTTGATGACTATTTTGAATGTTGTTGTACTTTTTAAAATAATTTTACTTTCTTTTTCACTCCCTTTCTCTCTTTCTCCCTCTGCCTCTTTCTTATCTTTCTTTTTTCTTTCTTCCTTCTTTCTTTCCTTTCTTCCTTTCATTTCTTTCTTTCCTCTCTCTCTTTTTCTTTTTCTTATAGAGGCAGGGTCTCATCATGTTGCCCAGGCTGGTCTTGAACTCCTGGGCTCAAGGGGTCCTCCCACTTTGGCCTCCCAAAGTGCTGGGATTACAGGCCTGAGCCATCCCACCCAGCCTCTCATATCTTAAATACATTATAACGTGGTTATTGCTTATATAGATAAAAGCTATTAATTTTTATACATTGACCAGCAACCTTCCTGAACCCATGTATTAGATCTAATTCTTTGTTGGTTGTTTCCTTCACCATCAAATAATAATAGATTTGTCTCATTATCTGACATCTTCTTTCTCAACTAGCTTTATTTCCCAAGTACTGCTATTTCCCACAGGAGTCCTCTTCCTTTTTTAGTTAGATTCCCGTTGACAACTCTGTATGGCCTAATCCAGAGGGAGAGATAAGATCAAGTATGGGATTTTAAATTTTTATTTATTTTTTTGAGAGAGGGGGTCTCACTCTGTCCCTCCAGGCTGGAGCAATCATGGCTAACTGCAGCCTCAAACTCCTGGGCTCAAGCAATCCTCCCACCTCAGCCTCCCTAGTAGCTGAGATTACAGGCAGGAGCTACCATGCCTGGCTAGTTTTTTTTAAGGTTAGTTTTGTTTTGTTTTTCTTTTCAGAGGGAAGAGGCTTAAATGGCCAAAGAAATAAGTAATTGGTGAGAAAGAGAGTGAAGATAGAAGAGAGAATGGGAGTTATTTGCTATATTGAAAATCTGGAATGGTATTTCAGCAGAAATGTTAGGGTTAGCCTAGGACAGAAAAATGGAAGAAAGCAAAGGTAGTTGGGGATATGGACAAGACGGCAGATGGGGCATGCACAGATAGGCTGCAGTGTTTCCTGTCTGATGGTCTCAGCTGCAAAGTCATCTGCACTAAGACACAGCGGTGTTTGGTGGCACGAGGAAGCCAGGATGCGGATGAAGGGCTGAAGAAGAACTGTAAAGGTATGTTGTAGTCACACTATATTTTCTTCATCCTACCATGATTTTTCACACAGGTTTAACTTAGAGAATAAACCACTCCCTGCTCTTATCGTCATGAAAACTGAGAACAAGAGCTCTTGGCCAAGAATTTAGTCAAGTCCCTTCCAGAAAGTTCAGGAAGTAAGAGAATATCCATTAAGAGGTGCATCACTCCCTTCTTATCCAGTAGCTTATAATGCCTCTAACAAATCGTGTTTGTCTTTGGGAAGGGAATGTGAAGTGTATGCATATGTCTGTGTCTAGCAAGTTCAAAAATCGCTCACTAAAATTGTTAGGAGAATGACTATTCGTGCTGCAGCAGTGTGATGAGGGAAACCTAAAAGTCAGCTCAGCTTAGAGAGACCATGTCCACACCCACACACCTGCACCCTTCACCTTGGGCCCCAGAATGAGATACAGGGAAGAGATTACATGTCACTGGTCCAAGGAGGGTGAGGGACATAAGAAACATAGCTAAATCCAACCTGGAGCTTGGAGCCCAAAGCCAAGAGCTAGCCTAGCTCATTCCAAGTTGTAGCCCAACCTGTAGACCTGTGAGCATAAAAATAAAGAATTGTTGTATTAAGTAACTGAACTTCAGGATAATTTGTTAGATATAATGTAATAATATAATATATATTAATATATTATATTAATATATTAATATATATTATATTATATATATTAATATATTAATATAATATATAATATATTAATAATATATATTAACATATAATAATATATGTTATTATTATATTACATATTATTATATAATAATATAATTATATATATTATATTATTATATAATAATATATATGTAATATATATTATTATACTTTTATATAATATATAATAAATATATAATATAATATATGTTATATATTATAATTATATAATAACTGTGGCAGTAACGGGCAGATACACCACCTTATGTCAGAGGAAGTCAACTCTAGAAAAGGGAGTGAAGAATAGCATTTTTGAGTTACATAAAAGTGGTAACTTACCTGGTAAGATGTACTTACTCACTTGTTCATTCATTCATTCAAAAGTTGCCTAATGAGCTATGTTTCAAACACTGGGAACAAAACACTGAATGAAACAATGGAAATCCCTGCCCCACAAAGTTTGTATTCCAATATGCAAGAGGCATTTGCTACAGGCTTACGTTGAGTAGGGGAAATAGTTTTATTTGTTTGGCTACTGCAACACAAGTTTTCAGTCATTTATATAACCCAACTGAGTTCCTTTCTCTGCTTCTCTTTCCAGAGGAGCGGCTTGTCCTGAATGCCCACTACTTGACAAGCACGAAAACTACATTATTCTTCATCATTACAAAATCTTTAGACTGGGTAACAGCATTCCCATTATGAGGACACTGAGGTGAGAAAATGAAGTAATTTGTCCATGGTCACATAGCTGGGAAAAACCTGACATTTGAACCCAGTTATATATAGCTATAAAGCCCTGTTTCTGGGAACCATATTGCCTCTCACAAATGTGGTATTGCCCTGGAAGTTTCTAGGTTAAAAGAAGATATTTTTAATCCTTAATTGGATTTGAGAATGGCAGGGGGAGTGTTCAAAGACATTTTCAGGACAACTAGAAAAGTCTGGATTGTATCTTAGGTAGTAGTATTATTGTACTAATGTTAAATCTTTTGAGTGTGATAATCATATTGCGGTACATAGGAAAAATGATGGCCTTATTCTTAGGAAATATATGTTAGAGTGTTTAAGATGATACGTCAAGTTCTCCGCAATTTACCTTCAAAGCGTTCATCACATTGTGTGTGTGCTTATAGAAATGGATGAATACATGCATACACAGATAGGCAGACAACTATCTTGAAAGAGGAAGAGAGAAAAAAAAGGGAGACAGAGAAAGCAAATGTTCACAACTGCTGAATCTAGGTGAATAATATATAAATTTTGTGAGGTTTTTCTTTCAGCTAAACTGTAGGTTTGAAATATTTTCAGAATAAAAATTGGGAGAAGAAAAAAATGAAGGTTTGGAAAGGATGGTGTCTCTGTCCCTTGCCTTGCTGTCATTTGAAAAATGCCACAACCTGAAACAGATCATCCTTTCAGGATATAGCCGTGCCTGAAGCCTGGGTCAAGTTAACAATCCTCCCTGCAGACTCATGCTGAGTGTCCATTCAGCATACTCAGGGGCTGACTAAAGAGGGTGCTGGCTCCCCTGCTCCTTCTTCCGGTCTGGCATACTACAATAACTGTTTGGAAGTTGACTTTGATAGACAAGAGGATGTTTGTGCACTGCTGGAAGACACTGTGAAGGGTGAGTCAGGAAAAGGCTGGGAAAGAGATGAGGGGGCAGAGAGATGGTATGTTTGTGCCAGGACACAACTTAGGGAATGTCTGGGAAATGTGGAGGAGGGGAGACTGGAAAAGGGTGAATGAGCAGCAACTTATCTGAAAATCCTTTAATACAAAAACAACAGAGGAAGACTTATTTGCTGTTGTTCATTTACCTACCATAGGTTGACACTGAGGAGTAGGTGGGCAACCCCTACCCGTTTTCTCATCCTTTAAAGGAGCATACGCTTCCTTCCTGACACTCAGGTAAGCCCTTCTTTCCTTGGCAAATCACTGGTCTTCTTCACCTCAATGTGCCCAAAGCGGGAACACAGAAATTTGGAGCTAGAATGTGGGTGGAGAAATTCTAAGAGGGCATGAGTAGAAACAGGAAGACCAATTTGAAGGTCACTGCAATCTAGTGACCAATGAGAGTGGTCTAGACAGGAGGTTACAAAGGAGGTGGTGAGATGCGGTTGGATTCCAGATGCATTTGAAAGCAGAAGTCAGATTTCCATGGATGCCTTGCCTAGAAACATCACTGACCTTTTAGATTCCCCTTCAGCATTTCCTTCTCCATGGTTTGTATTCTTGGACTGGAGTGCTCAGTTTCTTATAGCAACAAGGTGAGTTGGGGTATGGAGAGATGAAGACAGATCCAGCTCTGATCCTGGAAACACAGTTTGAAGGGCACATATTCCTGATGAAGATCGGTCAGCAACATCAAAAGAAGTTGGGTCCGGCCGGGCGCGGTGGCTCAAGCCTGTAATCCCAGCACTTTGGGAGGCCGAGGCGGGTGGATCACGAGGTCAAGAGATCGAGACCATCCCGGTCAACATGGTGAAACCCCATCACTATTAAAAATACAAAAAATTAGCTGGGCATGGTGATGCTTGCCTGTAATCCCAGCTACTCAGGAGGCTGAGGCAGGAGAATTGCCTGAACCCAGGAGGAGGTTGCGGTGAGCCGAGATCGCGCCATTGCACTCTAGCCTGGGTAACATGAGTGAAACTCCATCTCAAAAAAAAAAAAAAAAAAAGTTGGGTCCAGCTCAGCATTCCATTCTTCCAGGAAGCCTCACTCTCCACAGTGCGATGGCTTCCTCCTATGAACTCAAGGGCAGTTTCATCTACAGTAATAACATCCTACCTGACATGAGTATAGTACTTTACAATTCTTTCATGCCATTTGGGGAGGTCCTTCCTAACCCCTCGATTAAGTTGGGCCCTCTGTTGTATGTTCCCATAGCACTTTGTTCTTCCCCTATTCCAATTTTCACTATATGTTATTATAGACGATTGCTTAATTACTTGTCTTTCCCGCTAGATTGAAAAGCTTTATGAGAAAAAGGCAATTCTATAGTCTTAGTACCTACCACAGTGCCTGGCTTGTAAGCATTCAGTATATCCCTACAATTGAATGGATAATGATCAGTAACTCTTTTAATCTTCAAAACAATTCTTCCAAAGTGGGTGGTACTGACTCCACTTCATTGATGAGGTGAAGGATCTACTGAGAGACTATAGTCACATAGCAAGTTCATAGAGGAACTGGGAATAGTACCAGGGTCCAGGCTCTTTCCATTACACTCTACCTGGAACCTAAAAAAAAAAAGAAAGAAAGAAAAGAAATCCATTCATTTAATAAATCAATAGATACTTACTGATTACTCTCTATGTCAGGCTCTATTATATGCTGCTAGAGGGATATACCAAAAAAAATGCAAGATTTGCATTTGGATGCTATTAAAAGAAACCAAACACAGGGAAACAGACATGTAAACACATAATTGTATTATAGTGTAATAAATACCATAGAAGCTCTAGGAGGCTAACTCTGCTCATAGGAGGAATGTCCTACTCTGCCTTTAGTAGGCTCCACTTTATTTATTTATTTATTTTTAAGTACGTTGCTAGAACAGAAGGGGGAAAGTTATTAAGGGAAAAGTGAATGGCTGGTACCTCAAGGCTGGGTACCCTTGTTTCCTGCTCCATGATTGAAGATTCTTTTTTTTTTTAATTTTTATTATTATTTTTTTTTATTAATTTTTTTTAAAGACGGGGTTTCATCATGTTGGTCAGGCTGGTCTTGAACTCCCGACCTCAGGTGATCCGCCCGCCTTGGCCTCCAAAGTGCTTAGATTACAGGCGTGAGTCACCACACCCAGCCCGATTGAAGATTCTTAATCACACATTCCACACAAACCCCAGCAGCTTGCCTCAGAAAATGGAGGAATCAGTCCAGGGAGCCCCGGATTGCTTAACCCAAAAGTAGCCAAGACAGGAGACTTATAATGTGGGGCCAGGTTGTGTTATAAACATCCCTGGAGCTTGCCTACCTGGGCTACCACAACCCGATTAAAATGTCACCTATATGAATGGTGTTTGTTGGATTCAGGCAGTGTTCAACCCTCACTTATCACACACAGTGGCTCAAACACTTCATTTTGATCAATGTATAAAATTTATTTTTGTGACAAGTAAAAGAACACTGCAGGTCTTTTGACATGGAATAAAGTGAGGTAAAACTTGCTATAGGTAAGAGAAGGTAGGGGCCAAAGGAAGATCACTGGCTTATGGAGACTTGGGAGAATTTGCCTCCTAAGAATACAATAAACCAGCCAGGGGCAGTTAACAGTCCTTCCCTCATTGAGACATGGCACAGAAGGGCAGCCAAGAGGTTATCCTATGAGCATTGTTATGCTACAGTAGGAATTGGAGTGTTGTGATGGGGGCTACTACCATTAGCAGTTGAAATGGGAGGAAATTTTTACATAGGAGAGTATGGTGATCACATTTGCATTTTAGAAAATAATGGATAGCAGTTTGTGTTAGGGGAACAAAGGACAGAGCCAGGGAAACTGTTTAAAAGGTTAACAAAAAATAACAGTGACAGATGATGAGGCATCTACCTGATGGGAACAGAGAAGAGGAGATGGATTCAAAAGCTACTTAGGAGGTAGAGTCATCAAGATCTAGATGACTAATTGCATGTAGTGGGTAAGAAAGTAGGAAGAAGAGAGGATGATGACTCCTGCATTTCTGGCTTGGGAAAGTGGTTAGGTTGTGGGCTGGATGTGTGTGTGTTTGATTGTGTATGTGTAGCTGAAAAGGCAATTTAGCTTTGTAATTGTTGAAGTGAATATGGACCATAGGCATAGATATCCAGTAGGTAGCTGGATATGTAGTTTGCAAATCAGGAGAAAATTCTACGTGAAGATGGTTATTTAGAATCACAGAGTCTAAATGGTAATTGGGGAGTGGATAAGGCAGCCCATGTAGACCATAGAGGGAGGAGAAGTCCAAGGACCCAAACTTGCAGAACACCCACATGTGAGGGGCAGCCAGAAGTAGCTGTCTGTGAAGAAGATTGAGGAGTCAAGCCACACAAACTCAAAACTGTAAACACCATTGGGAGACTTAGACGGTCTAGCTCAGTTGGAGTTGGATTTGACTATAAACGTTAACTACAGCGGACTAACAGATTTCTTATCCAGAGGCAGGCAGTCCAGGGCTGATGTCCAAAGAAGCCACCAAGACCCGTGCTACTTCCTGCTCCTTCTGTCCTCATAATCACAGATGGTTGCTCCACATCCAGGTACTAAGCTCTTCTTCCAAGCAGGAAGGGGAAGGACAAAGGGCAAAAGGCATTAGCCAAGTCTCTCCCTTTTTATTTTTTGAGACAGAACTTCGCTCTTATTCCCTAGGCTGGAGTGCAGTGGCCCGATCTCTGCCTCCCAGTTTCAAGCAATTCTCCTGCCTCAGCCTCCCAAGTAGCTGGGACTACAGGCATGTGCCACCCTTTTGTATTTTTAGCAGAGACAGGATTTCTCCATGTTGGTCAGGCTGGTCTCAAACTCCCAATCTCAGGTGATGCCCCTGCCTTGGCCTCCCAAAGTGCTGGGATTACAGGCGTGAGCTACCTCAGTCGGCCATCTCTCCCTTTTTATGAGAAAAATAATCATTTCCTGAGAAGCCCCATCCATTAGACAACCCATTGGCTAGGATAAGGTATATGAATATCTTACTGCATGAGTACCTGGGGGTAAATAAGTATTTTTTAAAAACTTTTTGCTCTGAAATAATTTCAAACAGATAAAATTTGCAAAAATAGTACAAATGATTCCTGTATATTTTTGACCCAAATTTTCCAATACTAACATTTACCAAAATTACTTTATCATTTTTTTTTCTCTCTCTCATGCACCCATGATGCTCATTTACTTCTAATTTGGTGAGTGCTTCCTAAAAATAGACTTTCTCTTACATAACCACAATACAATGATCAAAATCAGAATATTAACATTGATACAATGCTATTATTTAAGCCACAGCCTTTTGCCAATCATCCCACTAATGTCCTTTATAGCAAAGAAAAAGCCTTTCTTCTGGTCCAGGAACCTATCCAGGACCACACATCGCATTTTGTTGTCATGTTGCTTTAGTCTGCTTTAATATGAAACAGTTCCTCAATCTGTCTTTACCTTTCATGTTGTTGGTATTTTTGAATACCAAAGACCAGTTACTTTGCAGAACATCCCTTATTTGGGTTTGTCTGACTGTTCCTCATGATTCAGGTTAGGTATTTTTGGCTAGAATACCACAGAAGTGATGCTGTATCCCTTCCAATGCATCATAGCAGAGGGTACCCTATTTTGACTTGTTCTATTACTAATGATATTAGCTTTGATCACTTGGTTAAGGTGGTAAGGTAGGTACCTGTCAGATTTTCATACTATAAAGTCCTTATTTTACCCTTTGAAATTATAAGAATCTGTGGGGAGAGGCTTTGAAACTATATACATATCATGTTTCTCATCAAACTAGTTTTAGCATCCATTGATAATTCTTGCCTGAAACCATAAGATGGTCATTTTCTAATTCTGTCTTTCCTTTTATACATATTAGTTTGCCTTGTATCATATGGAAAGCTTTCCTTTCTCCATTTTTTAATGTATTTCCGTATGGACGCAAAGATTTTTATTCTATTTGATGAGTTACAATTCTTTACTATCATAATTTATTTTAACATGGAATTGTCCCATATTGGTCATTAGGAACACCTATAAGCTGGCTCTGTGTCCTATTGATGTGTTCCCATCATTTTTGGGGACTTTTCTTATTGAGATTATTATTTTTAACAGGGTACATTGCTACCTTGATAAAATCAGCCTCTGTTAATAAAGAACAAAACGAGAAACAAAAATTGTGTGGGCAACCAGAAGTGTCTACCACACCTAGTTCTTCACCAGCCAAGAGGTGGTGGCTTGAATCCAGGCTGACAGCCTTGCTTTGTTCTAACAAGACAACTTTGTGCCCACATTCCAAAAAGAGCCTTGAGGCCATGTAGTTCCATCCATACTTCTCCTCACTGTAATCCTTTATCACCATCCAAAGTGAGTGCTCCAAGAGCCAGGTCATCTGTGTTGCACAACTTCTGGAGGTGCCATTCATATTGCAGGCTATGAATGATTTGCTAGAGCAGGGTCCAGCAATTTTTTTTTTTTTTTTTTTTTTGAGACAGGATAGAATACAATGGCATGAACACAAGGTTCACTACAACTTCCACCTCCTGGGCTCAAGCTATCCTCCTACCTCAGCCACCTGAGTAGCTGGGACTACAGGTGTGCATGCCAACATGCTTGGATTTTTTTTTTTTTAGAGATGGGGTTTTGCCATGTTGCCCAGGTTGGTGTCAAACTCCTAAGCTCAAGCAATCTGCCCACCTCAGCCTCCCAAAGTACTGAGATTACAGGAATGAACCACTGGGACTGGCCAACAAACTTCTATAAAGGGCAGATAGGGCCAATGTTTTCCACTGTGTGGGCCATATAATCTCTATTGCAGCTACTCCGTTCTGCCGTTGTAGTGGGAATGCAGCCATAGACAATGTGGAAATGAGTGGGCATGGCTATGGTCCAATAAAACTTTATGGACACTGACATTGAACTCCATACCATTTTCATGTATCATGAAATATTCTCATATTCATTTTTAAAAACCCATTTAAAATGTAAAAACTATTCTTAGTTTGTGAGCTCTACAAAAATAAGCAGCTGGCTAGATCCGGCCATAGTTCACCACCTCCTGTTCTGCTCAGCCTAAGCTGTCTTGTGCGGTGCTTCTGCCTCCGTAGGTCTCTTCTCCCTTATCCTAATCTCCAATCTGCTATCCTCCTCTGGGCTTCCTCTCTACCTTACACCTTCTTCCTTCCCAGATCTTTCCTCTGTGCCCTGGAAACTTCATTCGATTGTAAATTAACTTCTTTCCACTTTTAAACTTGTAGCTCATTCCTTGCCTTAACTGAAAAGTAACTGTAATCCCTAAGGAACATGATTCCCTTGCTGAATTCTAGAAAGGGTGCTACTCATTTTCCTATTCCCCACAACCCATGGGCATGGGAAGTGGTGTTGGTATTCTCCACATTCCTCAATCCTACTTCTAAACCTTTAACTCTGCCAATCTCCTGCAACACTCCCTCCTCCTTTGATGCTCTGCCATCTGGCTCTTTGAACAATAGATAACATGCTGAGCAATAACCTGAGCAAAGCCAGGAGACAGGTACCACTGTTATCCCCCACTTTGCAGAAGCAAAGAGGGGT